TTATGCCTCTGCACCAGCAATAGCTGTGGCTGTAGGTATAGTGTTTTTCAGGTTGTCCATCTATCTCATTCTTGTGAATGTGATATTTCAGGAACTCCCTGAGTGAATTTCTTCATATTTGGCACAGACAAGCACTTGGACTGACAGATGAACTAATTTTGGTGGTTAACGGTTAAAGATCACTGTATCTTTACATCTGTCCCATTCCCTATTCCCATCGAAAGATGCTGTGAAGCCTCATAGTGACTGTTCAAGAATGTCTTGACACATGTGATTAAATATGCACACTTACTGATTATGTTTTTGTGGTTTCCCATTACTTTGAATAGGAAACCATACGAACACTTTAATGAACAATTTTGAATATGACTGTGGATTCTAACAGGCACTTTAGGCTAACTGCACTTTTAAAAGGTTTCTAGGGTTACACGCTGGCGCCGAGAATCATTTGTCTCGCACTCCTATTCTCTAAAGAATAGAAGGACTTCTTAGAAGTGTGGTTAGCTTTTAGCAAATGTGTACAGTATCTTTCAAAGTTTTCTGAGTTTTGTAAAAAAGCAAATAATTCTGTGCACTGACCACCAGTTGTATATTTCCAATTCAAGGAGGCATTATATGCCATAAAAAAATTATTTGTGTAAGGAAAAAATTATCGGCGTATTTCATATATATGATTTTGATTCATTCTCCGGCGTAAAGTGCACCTTCCCTTTGCTTTAGTTTCAAAGGGTACATGCCACACACACTGAGGACAGACCGCTTGGGACAATATCAGTGACTGATTCTGACACTGTGTTTATTTCCTGTTAGTGTCTATGTCAGTACTGTTCACATAACTGCGTTTCCTGCCAGGATGTGCCAGTTCTCCTTCTCTCCATCTATTTTCGTCTGTGTTTCTGTCATTCTCCATCTCTGTCTCATGCTGTCACTGTCTGGAAGTATTTGTGGGTGTTATGTGCGTGCTGTATCTGAGCTATTTTATTGACTTTATATGGCCAATAAGACCATCCATCAGATAATTTGAATTACAGCTGTTTATTTTAAAGGTTAATTCTGGTTTATGAGAACTTGGATCTTATTTTTGTTGTGATTCTTCTTATTGGTAACAACAATATATCTACTACACAAATTCCAGTAAACCAACATTGCAATTACCCTACGACCACCTACCCCGGCTGTGTGAAAAGGATGTGCGTGAGTGTTTCTAGAGACAAAAGAGCAGGAAGGCACCGGGTCACAATGTTGTGACTTCCTCCTGTGTGAAAGTCTGTTGCCCAGCCAACCTCTGTCTTCATACACATATTTACTGGAGTGGTGTGAAGTCCCCTCCTGCTTCAAATTCTCCACCATCATCCTGGTTTCCAAGAAATCATCCACCAGTGGACTGAATGACTACAAATGTGTTATCTTCACATCTGTGGTGATGAAGTCCTTTGAGGGGCTGGTGTTGGCCCATCTGAAGGACATCATAGACCCCCCTGCTGCAGCCCCTGGAGTTTGCCTACTAGGTAAACAGGTCAGTGGATGATGCAGTCAACATGGCACTGCATTACATCCTGCTACACCTCTACTCCCAAGGGACCTATACATGGCTCCTCTTTGCGGACTTCAGCTCGGCGTTCAACACCACCATCCTGGACATCCTTCACTCCAAACTTACCCAGCTCACTGTGTCTGCCCACAGGGAAAACCACATCCAGCACATGGTCAGTCAGCACAGGTGTGCTCCCCTCTCTGCTCTTATCTTTCTCTATGCCAAAGACTGTAACTCAGAGGACCCTCTGTTAAACTCCTGAAGGTCAGTCATTGGTCTCATCTGAGAAGGGAGACAGTTTATTTGGCCTCAAACTCCCATCTGCACACAGACGGGAGGTTGAACAGTTGGCCCCATGGTGCAGCCACAACTAACTATAGCTAAACATGCTGAAAACAGTGGAGATGACAGTGGACTAAAGCCCTCCTACCCTACCCTCCCTCACCATACTGAGCAACACTGTATCAGCTGTGGAGTTTCTGGGCTCCACAATCTCCCAGGATTTGAAGTGGACATCCAACATCAGCATCATGATCAAAAAGACACAGCAGAGGATCTACGTCCTGTGCAAGCTCAGGACATTTAACCTGCCCAAGGAGCTGCTGGCACAGTTTACAAGGCAGTCATTAAATCTGTTCTCTGGACTGTATATCCATCAGTGTCTCAGCAGCCAAACACAGAGGGAACAGACTGCAGCGAATGGTCGGGACTGCAGAAAGAATCATCAGTGCCAGCCTGCCGTCCACAGAAGCCCAGTGCACCTCACAGGTCAAGAGGAAGGCAGATAAGATTTCTGCCATCCCCTCACACCCTGGATACAATCTGTTTGATCTACTTCCTTTTGGATGGTGCTACAGAACACTGTACACTAAAACAAACAGACCATGAACTGATTTTTCCCCCATCACATCACTCTGATGAGCATGAGCCCTTAGTGCAATAACTCCCCGCTACAGTAAATTGCAACAGGCTACTAATCTGAAAGCTGTTCTCTCATATATATGACACCCCACCCCGGGTTGCTTCTGATGGTATCACCAGTGTGTGAGTGCACTATTGATGTCAGGCTGGGGCAACAAGAGGGTCGGTTATTTGGTGGATTGAGCCACACACACCACACACCCACAGGAGAAATGCTTTCTTTTGAATAAAGTGTTGGACATGTACCATTTAGCTTTACATTCACAAAAGTAAACAAACTCACTGCTTCATAGGCTTTGACATGAAGTCTGCCCCATTTGCAGTGCAATGAAACCACCTTGACTCTTGCACTGGTTGGTCAGTTTGTTATGTTCACTTTAATGCATCTTTTTATGTTTTAAGTATTGTCTGCATTTAAAAGTCAAACTTCTCAGTATGTAAAATTATTATAAATGATTATAACATGATTTTTTTCTCTCTTTTTACTTTTAAGGTTGACACAAGAAATGAAATTCGTCTGACTGGTACTGTCTTTCCATCTTGGAGTCATCTTAAATCAGTGAGCCTGCGCCCGCTGGCCACCATGAATGCCTCAGCACTGCCGCTCAGCAACAACACCCCGCTCTGCTATTCCATCAACAGCCCTCCTTTCAATTACCACCCCACCATCGCCTCGGCATACTTCTCATCCATCTTCAGCAGTTTGGGTCTCATTTCAAATCTCATTGCCTTCATTGTTCTCCTCAAGTCGTTCCGCCAGACACACAGCCATTCACGTTCCTTCTTCTTGATCTTCCTGGGTGGCTTGGTTGTCACTGATTTTATGGGTCTTCTGGTCACAGGCTCCATAGTGGTCTCCTTCCATGTTACACACTTTAATTGGCGTACAGTAGACCCCAACTGCCACTTCTGCAACTTCATGGGCATGTCCATGGTTTTCTATGGCCTGTGCCCACTGTTGCTTAGTGCTGCCATGTCTGTGGAGCGTTTTATTGGCATCAACCATCCATTTGCACGCTCTGCCAGTATGCCCAAGAGCCGGGCAATCTCCATGGTGCTGACAGTGTGGTTGATTGCTGGCTGCATAGCGTTGCTGCCCCTAACAGGCATTGGGAGTTACCATATTCAGATGCCCGGCTCCTGGTGTTTTTTCAACATCAGCTCTAAGGGAAATGACCTGGCTTTCTCCCTGCTCTTCTCTCTGGCCGGGCTGATGTCTCTCACTGTCTCATTTTTGTTGAACACGGTGAGTGTGGTGACCCTGATCAAGGTGTGCTGCGGACAGGACAGGAACCAGCGGCGCCGAGACTATGAAGTGGAAATGATGGTTCAGCTCATTCTGATTGTGGTCATTTGTTCTGTCTGCTGGTGCCCCCTACTGGTGAGTTTGTCTTATGTGTTTAAATTTGTTTTTATGAAAAATGATAAAGCTACAATTAAAACCAGAATAATGTCAGTAATGTAAACTTGTTCTGGCTCCTTGAGTTGCATTATTTCCCTCAAAGATGACAATTGGCAGTGAGATTATTTCATGCAGGTTGAAAGAACTTTATTACTCTGAAACATGTTACAAAAATTAGGTTTTCTCTTGACAGCATGTAAACATCAGTGTTTTGATTGGTCATTTCATTTAATCAGTTAATTTACCTCTGTAACCAGTGTCAACTTTAAATTTTGGTAAATACAGCATGGGTTTTGGCTACTGGAACCAGAACACCTTTACATGTTGTCATTGTAAAGGTTTGTCATTGTAAATGGTTTTTAATCAAAGTATGAGTTTCTCTTATATCTAGAAGAGCCCAGATCTGATCATACGTCAGTCCTAGTTTTTCAAATATGTAAATGATAAAAAGGCATCAAAGTTCATCAGTGCTTTTTCTGCACTTCCTCTCTGTATGCTTCATTTCTCTTTTGCAATGCAGCCTCCTATCTAGTTGATCTGATACCCGCCTGGTCCAAGGAGGGATCACAGGGCCCCTAGTTAAGATGACATTTCTCTTGAAGAGTATGAGTGAAACAGTGCTTTAAAAGGAAAACTACATTTTATTATGAGCTGGGTTTCACTTTTGCAGCCGTGGCTTTTGGTGTTGTCCGTTATGACATTGCACTCACCACTGTGTTGATAACAGAACATTACTAAAATAGGTCCAATAGGGCAGCAAGCTCCAAATTAGTCATACTTATTTGGTAATACAGTGAGTAAAAAAATGTAAATATCAGAGAGTATATAAGGATTAATGGTAGTGGCCAGGCCAAACATCACCAACAATAGCCAGCACCATGAAGGCACATATTGGACTATACTGAAAAGTCAAAGATATTTCTTTCCTTGTACTGTGGCTGTTTATAAATTTCTCATTTGAAGATCAAAATTAATAGTTTTAAATACAAGGAATCTGAAAAAAGGGACTTATGGCATCAGCTTAAAGGGGTTACAGAGGATGTGCCTGGGGTCATCGAAAACCTTGTCTTTTTGAGCGTTTGTTTAGAATCGAGCTGTGTTAGTGGTCTCCTGTACGTGCCATACCTGTGTGCATGATGAAGGATTATATCTAAAAAATATTACAGTGGTAGCTAATATGACAAAACCTTTGGTTTGTTTAGAACCTGAATGACTGTCTGACCACTTGTTTGTGTTGGAGCTATTGTTAATGGTGTTGCACATCTTAGCATTTGCTGTTTTGGATTACCTGATTTTAAAAAAATCAATTGTAATATATGTAGTTTTCCTTTACATCAGTGAGATCAGTCTACTAACCTGTTCTGCTGGAGAATTAGTATAAACCTTTTCTCCAAACCTGATCTCCATCTGTGTGGCATGCTCTTCTTTATCCCTCATTCCATTGTGTTAATCCAAAACTAACTGAGCGGAATGAACGTCCTTAGATAGGTACGACTAAAGCCTGCTCACCGCTATGCCAAGAGAACGTGATGTATGGGTCCCTGGAGCACACATTTTTCCTGTCTAACCTCATTTGTGTGACATCCTGAACAGATATATACTCTGATGAGTGTGGTGACAACTGCTCCTGTAAGAGATGAAATAGTTTTGTTCTGCATACGAATGGCCTGCTGCAATCAGATATTTGAACCATGGATATACATCATATGTCAAGTAACCCGACTAAGGCGAGTAAAAAGTACAACAAAATGACTGTAACAATAACACAAGTTCCCCTCAGTAACTTTGGCCGGCTACCTCAGCATGTCATAAACATTTGCCAATGAAATGTTTTTGCACATTACAGTTCACTGGGTGTCTTTCAGCTTCCAATCCATTACTTATAAGCTCTCAGTATCATTAAGGGTATGCTTCACAGTGCAGCCAGTGCCCCATCTTGGTTCTTGTGTTCATTTCATTCCATTCCTACTCAGTTCATAAACATTTCACTGTAATAGTTTCTGCACTTTGTCATGCGTGTTTTTTGGCCCTGTGACTGCTTTCATTCTTTGAAACTATCATAGTTTCTCACTAAATCCCTGGCATCTACATTCTGCAAACGGTAGTTTGATTTAGTTACAAAAACATTTCTTAAGAGCAGAGCACAGAAATCTTTTACAAATAAGAGTTAACATCAAGAAAATTGGTCAGACTCCACAATTATAATCCTCCTAATAAATGCAATCTAACTACAGTGAAGTTATTTTTAGTCAAACCTAGGTGATGCTCAGAGCTTGAACCAATATAGCTGCCAGTAAGCAAGACCTTGAATGCCACTGTTGTCCTGCTTTTAAAGTGCAAGTTAGCCACTATGCTAACTTGCACTGTGGAAAACTGTGATTCATTTGTTTTTGCCTCTAGCACCTCTGCCTCTGAGAAAAGTTTCCCCAACTAAAACAATGGTTTGCACTTCATGTCAACACTTGCATGCAACAGTTTTCAAACACTGGAGTGGTTTTACAGCAGCTAACTGTTTTCCTTGTATTGCTTGGATGCAAACCCTAAGAGAACAGTTCAAATTTTCACATCAGCTGAATTTGGAATAGATATGACAATAAGCCAATTTGTTATTCCTGAAGGAGCTTGTTAGCATGTTTTGGCCACAGTGTTGGGCTAATCTTAATAAGGCTATGCCTCACATAAAATGCTGCTTACTGCCTCAGGAGGGCAATAGCAAATTAGCCTAGCCTTTCCCTCAGTGGTCTTAATAAATGTGTGTGTGTGTGTGTGTGTGTGTGTGTGTGTGTGTGTATTTTGAGTAATAACCAATTTCATCTGTCCCCTCCTATTCCTTATTTCAAATTTTCCTTTCCATAACTTAACTTTGCTACTATAATTTATCTGTTCTGTTCATTGTCCTCTTCCTCTACTGCTGTCCTCCATTATTTCCTTCTTTTCTTTATTCCTCCATCACACTCTCCACCACCAGATCTTTATTGCACAAACTGTGCTGTCCGGAGCATCTCTCCAGATCAAGTACCTACTGCTATGGCTACGCTTTGCCACCTGGAACCAGATCCTGGACCCATGGGTATACATCCTGTTTCGCAGGGCAGTTCTTAAAAGAATCTACCCTCGCTTCGACTGGTCCCGGGGTTCCATCATGACCTCGTCTTTCAGCAACACCCTCCGCAGGTTCACACGCACTTCACTTGGAACTCTTGGCTCAGACGGTGCAGGTGAGATGGAGAAATCAAGTGTAACGGCTCCATCTGCCTTGAAGCCGCCACCTCCTTCTCCGTGATTAATTGGATTTGAGTTGTTGCAGCAGACAGAGAGTTGTCACTAGGGTCAAAGTATGTGTTAGACAGTTGGCACTCTGATCAGTTTTTATGTTGGCTGTGGCTGTGAATAGGATAAGATGCACACTGAAATGTTTTTTCAGTATTTTCTGTAACTTTTTTTTCATGGCAAAGTACAAAGACAGAGTGGGAATAAAAATCTATCAATACAAAACAAATCCATTATACTTAGCACATTGTAAACTAGCTACCTGCCCTGCTGTGCATAAATGTACTTTTTCATCAAGTGCTTTTATGATGTTTGAGTTAAATAGGGACAATGTATGATCAGTCATGTGATTACTTTACAGAAATATGATGCTTCATTCTGGTGGGATGTAATGTCTTTTAAACACAGGTATAGTAGACGCTGTTCAGATGCTCTCGAGCATCACCATAGACTCAGAAATAATAATTTACCGTAATTGTGTTTTCAGACTCATGCTAAGTACTGTTCATGTGTTGTTCACTTTGTGAAAGTATTTAAATAGAAAATTTGAGGGCAAACTCTTAGGGTGGAACAGTGGATCCCAAGAGTATCAACAACTGAAAACTAACTTATGCTGATCTTGCAGAGACACTTCTAGCTGAAGATTTAATTTGCCTCTTATTTTGGCAGTGTTTTATATGTAACATTAGACTAGTAATATATTGTTTACCAGCAGTGTTTTGACTTTACTTCACCGTATTACCAGTGAGGGCTGGTTTTCCTAATTACTGATTTCAGACTCTGCTCACCCATATTCTCATTTAACACTATAGGTGTGTAGCCATGCAGACAATTTTGGTTTTATTTTACCCAGGTTTTGAGATGCCCAATTTTCAGATTTCTACACTGGAAGTGGATGGGAAATTCATTTGTCCTGAAAAAATGTTATTGGAAAATATTTTAAGTGAGTAGAGTCTAAGTGTATGCAAGATTAAGTGGGAAAGTACATGTAGCCTTTGTACATATAATTTCAGTGAACTGACACTTTTTAAAAAAGGCTTTACCTGGTTTATGTTGGTGTTACTGTCTTTCAATCAAGTAAATGATCAAGGATGGAAAAAAAGTCCAATATTTATATCTGAAGAAGGTGCCATTGTGTTATCTAAACTGGTTTTATTTTTTGCCTACCTCAGTTTTAAGTTTGAATAATACCAATGTAAATATTCCCTAGATCCATAGTTACTCGAGAAAAAGACTATTAAAATTAATTAATGGTTTTCAAGGCAACAGAAGAATTAGCTTTGATATCCTATGAAATACTAAAAAGTCTTAATAAGGGTTCATGATATTAAATTTCCGCTATCTTTCCCCTTGCTTCTTCTCTGGGCCTCAGATGACTGATGTTAAAGCAGTTGTTATTTCATCGTGTCAGAGATGTTTAACTTCAAATTGCTGTCAAGTGAGAAAGTGTTTAGAGCAACATTGTAGGAAGTGGGGCAGGATTCATTCATTGGATAATTCAATTTCAGTCTGAAATTTGTGCAGTGTCATTTGAGTTCAATTGTCATATTTTGCTGAAAATTTGTTTTTGTCATTTATTACACGACCTGATTATTCAGTTCTCTACTGGCATCTGCTCAACTGTCACACAATTGCACATAAATATAGTGATAACCTGCTTTTAAACATTATATAACAAATGCTTGCTTGTTCTGGTTGTTGCGAATGGAGAAGTAGACTAATAGTTTTTGACTTTGGGATTGACCCAAAAATGTCTTCTTGTTCATTTCCTGTTTAGGTCAGTGGGTTTTCATTAGATAAGCTTTACTGTAGTTTATGTGAGTCCTGGGCTCCTAGATAGCTACTATGTGGTTTTGCACCTGCATTTTCTAACACATTGTTTCTTTCCATAATGGTCTATATGTGTGGGGAGGAAACCCCTAAACCTTGTAAACATTTATCTATCATCAAAATAAAAAGTAAGCCTGACTTTTGGTGAAATGCCAAATTTTGTTGTCACTGTTTTCTATTTTGAACAAGATCAGCCAAATGCCTACAAATCTTTGATTTCAGTACAAACATATTTTAAAAACTACACTATTTCTCGGTATTTTGTCCATTTTAAAGATTTGCTGCTTATGGGCTGATTATTGATGGTTCATAGGGGAATGGTTGAATTGATTTTGAATGAAGTGATTTAAAATTAATGCAAGAACTGAGCAGCATTAAATGCTTCTTATTTCCAGTTGGATCTATCAGACTACAGAGCCCAGAACAAGGTGAAGAATGTATTTGGAGGTCAATAACCCATTTTATATCTGATCTACACAGCCAAATGTCTGCTAAGAAATCAGGCCAGACTTGGAAGTCTCAGAAAGAACAAAGTATGTGTCCCCTTCAAATTCTTTGTCACTGTTCATCTTAGAAATGTGTTGTGATATTTGTAGGGATAAAATCAGGTGTCCCTGTAATGATGCCAGTTTTTTTTCCTTCTGATGAAACAGCTACTCAGCTGGCCAGACCATGAGATATTCTTTGTCAAATATTATTACTGCTTCATTCCCCACAAAGCACTTGTTGCCCTCCTTAGCCTGGTCTGTGTCAGGGAAGGTATCATCTTAAGCAAAGAAGCCAAAAACTTGAGCTTGCATTCAGCATAACTGCAGAACTTATTCAGCATCACTACAGGGGTTTTAGCAGAGAGAATAGAAACAATGCAAGTTGTTTGATTTTAGGTTCCTAGTGCTATGCGCCATCTAGTGACCAGTTTGAGTATCACCCAGTCACAGCATCACCAATAGAGCAAGACTGGTGTTGGGGGGTGGGGGGGCATATATCTTATACTGGTGTCTTCTTTTCTTATTATAGAACTGTACCACAGTCCCCTAATTAACCATCTGCCAAAAATGTAGGAATTCACCACACAACAGCTTTATATTTTATCCCCATTCTGTAAAGGTTACGTTAGGAGCATGGGTACAGTGTAGGTAATTATTTTCATTTGTCATTTATTTATGACAAATGTACTGTATTTTGGACTGTTGTAGACCCTATTAAAAAAATCAGTTGGCACCTGAAGTCTCATCGCTCAGTGTGTGCAATGGTTGCAACATTATTTTGCCTATTGCTAAATAATCACTTTAACATTATGAGCTAAAGAAATTGTAGGTATTATTCTTTTGACAGTCTTCCATAAGCAAAGTTCAGTATTACATTATATGCTGTACACCCTAATCATGTCATTTTTATCGCCATTTTAAACACTGTTACTCTTCTTATCCAAATGTTCAGTACAAAAAAAAAAAAGCTTAGTCATATGTTTTGAAATGACTAAGCGTACAGTGGCCACTTTATGGACAGCAGCACTGCTCAGACATGTACAGAATTAATGAGAACTGCATATGCACCATTTAGTGTCTTCAGTTTGCTTCTTAATGACTTTCTCTGCTTCTCATTGCTGTGCCTAAAATACTACATGGTGGCTTCCCGGAGCCCTTCCTCTTTTGTGTGTCAGGGAGGGGTGAAGTGAGCAGAAAGCATGCATGACTGGATGGGCAGATATGAGAACCTGAGCTGCTATAGGAGAGGACACAGCTGGGAGAAGGGAGTGAAGGTGATCGGGGGTTACTGCTGACAGCCTGAAGTAGGATTTATTTCCATCAGATGGGACTTAGTGTATGTGAAGTGTTTCCCACTTGGTGCTGTGATTATTTTTTGTGTCATCACTATTAATCTTACAAGTGCAGAGTTAAGTGCAAACTTTCCAACTGAACATCAACTTGGCCTTTGCAAGCACTGCTGTAATGGTAAGACATTCCTTAATTACCTAATAAATGTAAAAACCATTTGTTAAAAGGACACTTTAAAAAATTTGCAAAACAAAACAAAATTTGCCCTTGTGGAAAAGACCTGAATGACAATTTCATAACAAAATGTTCTTGTCCTTCAGCTACAGTTTCTTTAATAGAACTGTTAGTGGGCAATAGATGCATCACTAACTGTGGTTTCTGTTTTGTTCAGTGGGCAGTGCATGTCACCAACAGTGATGGGAGGTTAGGAATCAATGCCTACTAATGGTGTACGTCTTAAAATAAGCCTCTGACCTTTTGAAAATAATGCTGGGCCCTGTTTTCACAAAGGTTCAAAGGATGCTCAATTCTCAAACCCATTGAGGCACAGCAGCACATTGTCAGGGTGTGGGCCACTGCATCGTGACCGCTATAACTGGTTTAGCACAAAATATTGCTTAAAATATAGTGATCACACATGTCACAATTACACGCAGTAACTGGCTTTTTATAATCATGCTCTTTGCCCTGCACTCTTTACAGCAATTCAGCAACAAAAAGAACATGACTTCTGCCTATTCCACCTGTTTGTTTTTACGATTTTTACACCAGTTATGGTGACATAATGAAATGTTTTTAAGAAATAGTGGAGCTTATAAAATAGGCCTGTAGTTAAACAGTCAGACTGTGAGGTTTCTGTTTGCAAGACAAGAGAACTTGGCAATGTTAGTACAAAGAGCCTATTTGCTTTTTATTGCTCACGTTCATGTGCATTTGTGTTTTTTCCTTTGAAAAAAGCAAAACAGCTTGATTATTTAAAATGCAGATTGAGACGTTTGCAATACAAACATGGAAAACAGAGCCTCATACACAATACTAAAGCATTGCGTAAGGTATCTGATATAAAACCGATAGTTTTCATTTCAGATGGCCACAAGAACAGTAAGAAATCTATGTCCCAGTCCAGATGCTTTATTTCAAAAGATAGTGTTTTGTGGAATTTAAAAAAAGAAAAAGTCCGTCTACTAGCGAATCTTTTGGAAAAAGTTTTCTGGCAGTTAGCCACCAACAGTCTGGTCACATGCAGTTACGTATGCACAACTCCTAACTATATTTCTGTGGTTTCCCATTAGTTTGAACAGGAAACCATTAGACCGCTTCAGTAAAGTAATTTTGATTATGACATATTGATTGTGGATGCTAACGGGCACTTTTCGCTAATGGCACTTTTAAAAGATTTTCAGGCGTCACACAAGACTCTGTGCCAAGAATCATCTGTCATTCTGTTATAAAAGAAATCCTATTATTTCTATGTAAACTAAATTTTTTGTATTAGCCCCATTTATTGTGTTTTATTTTGTTGCTGCTTTTGCTTATGCAGTTACCAACTTTCCTTCTTCCAGGTTTCATCTTAACAATCATTACATCTACATAGATGTAAAACCTTTACTTGCCTAATATCCACCAATAAAATGAGTCTTAGAGTAGGTTGCTTAGAAGCACTCACTCCGCATTGGGGGAATCAACTGCAGTTAGCTGTGAGGATTTGTATTGCTAAGACAGTATTATTCAGGATGAATTGAGACTTTGAGAAGTAATTTGCAGTACAAATTGTGATGTTAAATTTAGAATGGGAAGTGTGTTTCGACAATGAATTGCTTTGTGTTTTTGTTTATGGCTTATTTTTGAGAGGTTACATTATGGAATTATTAGATTTCCAGTTTATTCCATTATAGTTCAGTGCAATATCAGTATCCGCATTATATGCCATGAAATCATTATTTTGTTTGAGGGAAAAAATTATTATGCAGCCTGACGTATATCTCCGCTTTGCTTTAGCTGTACAGAGTACATTCTAGCTATAACAGGCCGCACACTGAGGACAACATCATTGACTGATTCTGACTTTATGTGTTTATGTCAGTACTGCTCACATAACTGTATTTCCTGCCAGGATGTACCAGCTCTCCTTCTCTGTGTCTTTTTTCATTTGTTTCTGTCACTCTCCATCTCTGTCACAGTCGGCAAAAATTTGTGAGGGTGTTATGTATATGCTGCATCTAACCTGTTATGTTGACTTTATAGGCTTAACATGACCATCCGAAAAACAAAAATCCATTTAATATACTCCAAGATAATTTGGATTTAAGTTGTCTGCCTTTGTGTAAGCCAAACTCTTCATAATGAAAAATGCCTTGAAAATGTTCTCTTTTTACTTTTAAGGTTGACACAAGAAATGAAATTCGTCTGACTGGTACTGTCTTTCCATCTCGGAGTCATCTTAAATCAGTGAGCCTGCGCCCGCTGGCCACCATGAATGCCTCAGCACTGCCGCTCAGCAACAACACCCCGCTCTGCTATTCCATCAACAGCCCTCCTTTCAATTACCACCCCACCATCGCCTCGGCATACTTCTCATCCATCTTCAGCACTTTGGGTCTCATTTCAAATCTTATCGCCTTCGTTGTTCTCTTCAAGTCGTTCTGCCAGACACACAGCCATTCACGTTCCTTCTTCCTGATCTTCCTGGGTGGCTTAGTTGTCACTCACTTAATGGGTCTTCTGGTCACAGGCTCAATTGCAATCTCTTTCCGTGTTACACACTTTAATTGGCGTACAGTAGACCCCAACTGCCACTTCTGCAACTTCATGGGCATGTCCATGGTTTTCTATGGCCTGTGCCCACTGTTGCTTAGTGCTGCCATGTCTGTGGTGCACTTTATTGGCATCAACCGTCCATTTGCATGCTCTGCCAGTATGCCCAAGAGCTGGGCAATCTCCATGGTGCTGACAGTGTGGTTGATTGCTGGCTGCATAGCATTGCTGCCCCTAACAGGCATTGGGAGTTACCATATTAAATTTCCTGGCTCCTGGTGTTTTTTCAACATCAGCTCTAAGGGAAATGACCTGGCTTTCTCCCTGCTCTTCTCTCTGGTCGGGCTGATGTCTCTCACCATGTCATTTGTGCTTAACACGGTGAGTGTGGTGACCCTGATCAAAGTGTGCTGCAGACAGGACAGGAACCAGCGGCACAGAGACAATGAAGTGGAAATAATGGTTCATCTCATTCTGATTATCGTCATTTGTTCTGTCTGCTGGTGCCCCATACTGGTGAGTTTGCTGGTCTTTCAAATGTTTGAAGCATAACAAGGCATCACAAGTTCCTAATCTCCTTTTCTCCAGTTCTCCTCTATATATATGTTTCATTTCATCTTAGTAATGCAGCCTTAGTTGTAATGAAAGCCTTATGGCTCAAACCTGTATCAAAGGGCCTTAGTTTAGCTGACACATTTCACTTGTAGACCATGAGTGAATTAATCAAATGTATAAATCTAATACCTTCTTGAATAAAACCATAATAACTACTATTAACTACAAAAAAAAAGCTACAAAAAACAATGGACGCTGTAATAGTAGTCTTTCATTACATCACTAAGATCAGTCTACTGTAGGATTAGTATAAACATTTACTATTACATGTAAAACCTGCTCACCGCTATGCCAAGAGAACATGATGTTTGGGTCCCTAGACCACACATTTTTTCCTGTCTAACCACAGTTGTGTGACATCCTGCACAGATATATACCCTGATGAGTGTGGTGACAACTGCTCCAGCAAGAGATGAAATAGTTTTCTTCTGCATACAAGTGGCCTCCTGTAATCCAGTACTTGAGCCATGGATATACATCATGAGTCAAGTAACCCGACTGAGGTGAGTAAAGAGTACAGCGATAAACATTAACGCAGCTTTTCCTTAGTAACTTTGGCCGGCTACCTCAGCATGTCATAAACATTGGCCACTGAAACATATCTGTATATCACAGTTCACTGGATGTCTTACAGTTTCCAGTTCATTACCTACAGTATAAGCTCATAGTATCATAGGGGATATGCTCCACAGTGCAGCCAGTGTCGCGTCCCTGTGCCTTCTTTCATTGTCTGGAACTAATATTTCTTATCAAAACACTGATAGCTTTCCATTTTGCAAACTGTTTATTTAGTTACAGAAACATTAAGAGCAGAGCACATAAATCTACACCTATAAGAGTTAAATAAGAGTTAACATCAAGAAAATTGTTCAGGCTCCATAATTATTATTATTGTGATAAATGCAATCTAACTACAGTGAAGTTATCTTTAGTCAAGCCTAGTTGATGCTCAGAGCTTGAAACAACATTGCCACCAGTAAGACCATGATTGCAGCTGTTCTCCTTCTGTCAAACTGAAAGTCAGCCACTGTGCTAACTTGCACCCTGGAAAACTGTGATTGTTCAGATGTTCCAGTCTCTGGAACACATCTGCCTCTGAGAAGGGTTTCCCTCGCTAAAACAATGGTTTGCACTTCATCTCAACATTTGACGTGCAGCAGTTTTCAAACACTGTGAAGTGGATTTCAGTTCAATTCAATTTATTGTATATCGTCAATTCACAACAGCTGTCTCAGATGGTGTCTGCTCATCAAAAGCATAGAGCTCCAGAGCTAGGGATACCTGCAGGAAGGTACAGGGAGAGAAAGGACACCCAAACAAACCAAACCAAACCTATTTTAGAATCAATAATTTCATTAAAATCTCATAATTTCAGAGGCACCACTACCTGCTGCCGCTACATTTACAGTAGCTAACTGTTTTCCTTGTACTGCTTGAATGTAAATCCCAAGAGAAAACTAAAATGTTCACACCAGCAGACTTTGGAACAGAGATTACAATAAGCCAATTTGTTATTCCTAAGGGAACTTGTTAGCATGTTTTGGCCGCATTATTAGGCTAATGTTAACAAGGCTATACCTCAACTAAAATGCTGCTGCTTAATTAAAGCCGGGGGGAAGCTGTGTTGCAGCAGCCACTGCCTCAGCAGGGCAAAGGCAAAGTTAGCCTGGCCTTTCCCTCAGTGGTCTTAATACATATTTGTGTCTGTAATATTTACCAATTTCATCTTTCCCCTTTTGTTTCTTATTTCTTATTTCCAAATCCTGTCTACTATTATTTGTCTGTTTACTTCTTATTTGTCTGAAACAATTTACTTCATTCTAAACCTCTATCCCATCTCATCTTACTCTTCCTGTACATCTTTCCTCCATATTTCTTGATTCTCCTTTTGTCATCCTTGTCCCTATCGTATTCCTTCATCAAACTCTCCACCACCAGATCTTTATTGCACAAACTGTGCTGTCCAAAGCCTCCATCCAGGTCAAACAACTACTGCTACGGATATGCTTCGCCACCTGGAACCAGATTGTGGACCTGTGGGTATACATCTTGTTTCACAAGGGAGTTCTTAAGAGAATCTACCCCTGCCTCAGCTGGTCCTGGGGTTCTATCATGACTTCGTACCCATCTTTCAGTGACACTGTCCACAGGTTCACATGCACTTCACTTGAGACTCTGGGCTCAGATGGTGCAGATGAGACAGAGAAATCAAGTGTAATGGCTCCTTCTACCTTAAAGCCATCACCTCCTTCTTCATGATAAGTTGGATCTGAGTTGTTGCAGCAGACTGACAGTTGTCATTAGGGCCACAGTATGTGAGTCCATGTTTTGAGGTTTTATCTGCTTTGCAGCCATTTTGTTTATACAAAAAGAAAAAAGGGCACCCATTGCACCTTTAACCATGAATTGCTTGCAAAAATTCACTCATCAGCTACATTATTAGGTACACCTTTACGCTTCCGCTTTAACAGATGTGTTTATGAAGCTCAAAATGTTTTTGTTTTAGTTTTAGGTGAAAATGTCACAAATGTATAAATTAAATTATATGTTTATTATTGAGGTCACAGTTAAAGGTGCAATTCACAATCCTGGAAAAACCAGCAAGAGGAAGCTCAATTTTGAAAGTAGACAACCAAAGAATTCCCGCCCTTTCACGCTGACGTCTCTCCAAAGCCACTCCTCCAAAACACAAAGCACACTGCATCGCGCACTGCCTGAGTACTACTGATTTCAGGAAACTAACAGATGGCCCCCAAACAAAAAAAATTATCCATAGATACCTGTCCAGCAGAAATGCGGCCACCGTGGCATCACTTTTCAGCCCCTTTGGTGAAATATTTGGTCGGGCTTTTTTCAGCCCTGCTGCCGCCACAGATGACAGATTTTTTTTTCTTTTTGCTGTCATTGCATTTAATGTATCCATTGCCATTAGGATGAAAAAAGAAATTGAAGAAATGTAACAAAAATGCTTCTGGAAGGAATCACTTACCCTATCTTTAAAGGTAGGGCTACTGTAAGGCTACAGTATGTACTGGGCTAGATTATACTGTATTATATGTTCCTAATATTCTGACCCTCTCATGTACGTAGCTGGTTAGGACAAAAATGTAGAGACCATTTTTGAATGAACAGAATTCCTTTTTTTCTTTTGTCTGTACAGTAAATGTTTACATTCTGCCATTCTTTACATCTGCAATAGCCCCCCATACGTCGAACAAAAACACATCAGGGAAAGCAAAATCTCCCAGAACTGTGTCCAAGGCCTCTGCAAAGTCATCAGGGCTTTTCTTGTCTTTGCCTGCTTCCACAATGGTAGTTGCTGCAGAGAAAAGAACATATCAAAGTATAAATTTTCACAGAATTAAATCATCTACAGTTAACGCAATCCAAAATACAGTATGTCCTGGCAGTGTTTTTCCTCACCAACTATAGCCACGGTTTTCTCATTTACCTCATAAAATTGGTCAATTGATCATGTGTTTTACAAAGCCAAAAGAAATTTTTAAAAAGCAGGTTTAAAGATATTCAGAAGTTAGGCCTTCCTAAAAGATGCAAACTAAACTGGAACAACATACACTGCATTGCTCACATTTTCTCAGGAAACATCCACACTGCCTTTGTTTTAGTTTTAAAAGAAAGAATCAGTGACAAATACACTGGCTCTGATGGGTTTGCTGTTTTGGGAGGATGTCTATCAGAACTGTGTATCTTAATGTTATTTTGACTTGCATATACATTTAATCAGCAAGCGTAATGAAGAAATACATAAAATGCTCAATGTAAGAAATGTAATGCCTGTACTGTCTGAGTATTTAAATCTGATTTAATTGGTGTGTTGTTATTATGTGTAGTTTGCCCAAATAACGGGACCTTAAAAAGAGTTTTTGTGTTAACCATTTCTATTTTCCTGAACATCTCTTGTATATGACATAAACCTGAATGCTTTAGTTAAACATCATACATTTGTTAGCAACCTTAGTTAAACTGTGAGAGTAAACTCTATTTCCCCCAACAACAGGGTGAAAAATGACAACTCACTAACCTATTTTATATTATAGCTAAACAGCCAAATGTCCACTTGAAAATTAGGCCAGTGGTTTTGAAAATCTCAGAGAGAACAAAGTTCGTGTCCCCTGCTCATTCCTCATAAAAGCAAGGATAAAAGCAAGTGTCCCTCTAATGATGCTATAGTTTTTTTCTTTCTGATAAGATTATTTTTGGATTATAAAAGGTCTACTTTGTAGCTTCTTCTGAACTTTTCACTCATTTTTTAATTCCCTTGGCTGAGGAAGATTGTGAGAAGTGGATTAAAGCTCTGGAAAAAGCCATTCAGATGGCCAGGAGTTATTACTTCTTTCCCCACAAGGCACTGAATGCTACAAGGGCAAATGCATTCTGTCAGATGTTATTCCCAAAACTGCAGAAACTCAGTGCCTGGTCAAATAAAAGTCAAAAATTCTGAGGGAAAGGAAGTACACCAAAATAGAGAAGAAAAAACACACAACAGCTCCCTGGAGGCAAGATAAGGACACATTTTCCTTTAATACATCTCAGGGGCTAAACAAGCTAGTTTATCCCAGCATGCCAGAGAAGCGCTGATCCGCCTCGGACAGTAAAGCCATAGTAAATCCCACTGACTCCTGGGTTTGTGTGTGAACTTGCTTTCAGCACTATTTCACTTCCTTACATGCAAGCATGTCTATTTTAAGGACGCAAGTGTCATGTGGATGGCCTTACCCAGCTCCACATCTCTGATGCCCATGTAGCTCTCCAGCAGGTCGTCCACTTTCTTAGTGGCCTGTTCTTCAAATTCATTCTGCTGACAGAGTAGACAGGAAAATAATTATCAAAAATTCACTGGTGTTCATGCTGTAAATATGGTCAGAGGCGCTCTGTGAAAGCGTATCTTCTCAAGTCAAAGATTGGTGGGGCCAAGAATGTCTTTGGCAACTGTTATTCACTTGTCGTTATGTTATATATAGTAAATATATCAAGGTTTGTAAATGATGAAACCCTACTGATCCTAACGCAACTTTTGCTGATAGGTGTTATCATTTGCTTGTCAGGTGTTCTAAATTTGTCACTTCTTGAAAACCAGTGAACCTTTTCCGCTTCTAAACTTTGTAGGATTGTGTCACAGACCAGTGTAATGTGAAATATCCTGCATTGAATTACAGGTAGTAATAACCACTTTGATTACAAAGGTAATCAAATGGCCACTAAATCCAGTGATGCTAAAGGGTATCATGTGACTATGTGTGTCCTTGTTATTTTATGTCTCAATGGTGTCAACTGGGAATATTCAGTTCATTTCAGTTCAGGTCAGGTCTTTACCATCACCCATGGGGCATTATGTTATTTGGGTTTTTTAGCATGATTATATCTTTTAAAAGGTCCATTTGTTTCAGAAAAAAAATAAATAAATACAAAAATGCCACTGTCTTAGCAGTCATTGTCCAGCAGAGCATGTTAAACTTACCACCTCCTGCACTGTGGCAGCGCCTTTGGAGCGAAGACGCAGCGTCTCCCGGCCATTCACTATCTTGCCCTCATTAGATTTTGTCGCTCTGGTCCTCATTCCGATCATGTCTAAACAAACACAGGCAAATGATAATCATTAGTCAAATTAAAGAGGCAATCTGTTGGATTTTATTATTGGCATGTTGTTTTTTACACAGTACTGTTCATTCCAGTGGTTGCTTGTCCATCCAGGTTGGATTTTCTGCTAATGAAGTGTGAGGTTCAGCATTTTTGCATTTAAATTTTCATCTAGACATCAGGTTGAATTTTTATTTTTGTCCAAGACTTTGGTTTCTCACTTGCTAAACTTGACATTCCCATCAGCTTCAACTGATGATGAAGATGCCTAAAGTGCTGATTAGCAAATTTTTGTATGGTAACACACTAATTTAAGATCTTGAAGATTGTAAACTTTATACCTGATATACATCTGCATGTTAGAATTGTGAGCATGTTAGCCAGATGATGTTACCCATATCATCAGCCAAAGTGATTCTTGTCTGGTTAAATCAAGTTTTAGAAAATCACCACCAGTCAAATTCAGCATAACGTTACGGCTCTAACTGCTGTTCTGCTGCCAATAAACTGAGTAAGCTCAATATGCTGATGAAGATCAGTGAATTCGGTTCAAGACTCCAGAACAACAAGTAAGCAAGTATGTGAACCTTCAGCTGAGACATGTTATTTTGCTGTTTTTCAATCAGTAGGTGTAGTGTGGTAACCTGATTGTCATCAGGAAGTCTGTCTGTTGGCTATGGCTTTTGTTTCCTGTCTGATAAGCAAGGTTGTGGGCAGCTTGGCTCCTGTATCTACAGAGAGCTTCCTTCAATCATAAACATGTGTTTATGTGACAACAAAGGTTCTTTAGGTTGTATTTTAAAGTAGAAGCAAACTATGTATATTGCCATTTAGGTTGGAGGACTTGTTGGTATATTCCTTGTACAGGGTAAGACGTATATAAAACCTTTTCCCACCATCCTCTTTCTCTGTCTATTATTCACTTTTTGAGGAAATAATTTTGATCAGTGTTCAAGTTTATTATTATTATTTTGATTGAAAGCTGTTGGGAAAGAAAACCTCAGTACTGAGCTGCACTGTTGACAAAACTATCAAATGTTATATTAGGTGTAACGAGTTACATACACAAATTATGCAACTCCAACAAGAAGGCATGATTTTGAACTGGAAATAGTAAAACTGTGGCAACAAATTTAAAATGGTTTACTTAAGTAAATCTATTTCAACCAGATAATTAAGTGTTTTATTTAGTCTCTGGTTGAGGCTACACACAGTATTGGTCAGTTGATTGTAGCTCCCATGTTTAATAACTTTTCCAGCTCATTGGCAGATAGCCAGTGCTCTCTAACATGTTTCTGTCTCCTCCCCCCTGTTTGACTGATGAGATATGGAAGCATACCAGGAACTGCTGAAATCCATTGACCATTGGAGCCAAGTTTGGATCAGAGAGTGGGTTAGTAGGAATTGGTTGCTGCTGCTGCTGCTGCTGCTACAACTTGCAGGGGCGGTCCTAACATAAACTATGGGGCAGCTTTTGGCACTAATGATTTTGCTGTATTGATGTTTGTGTTGTGAATCACAGCTCACAAACACTTATGCTTCTTATGTGTGCTGAGAGCTTAAAGTAACAGGGATAGCAGACAGGGAAGTATTTCTCATTCCCTACTCCTTAGCACGGCCCTGCTGGTTTTAATTAATTGAATCAAGAATGGATTTCTATGTTGGGGTGTGACTGATTCATATATATAATATTAAGTTTGATCTCAACTACCATTTTTGACTGAGTCTGTGTTTAGGATTTCTAGCCTCTTGCACATGACATGAAAAATCCCAGACAGCATAAAACATTGTCCACTCACCAAAAGCCTTCTTGGGCCCAACCAGGCGGAGAGTGAAGGGCGTGCCTCTTGATTGCTCTTTTAGCATCTTGGCCACCTCGTAGTGTCGACACCCTACAATGCTCTGGTCATTGATGGCCTCAATGTGGTCGCCAATGCATATAGTCTTCAGGCGGTCTATGGTGCTGCCTTCTTTTATCCTCTAAAAAAAACATTTAAATGTACTGTACATGAGTGTCAGTGCCCAGACTGGAGCCTTCTGCAAACTGAAGTGATTGGACCACCCTTTTAGAGCAGTCAATATTAACTTTAGGAAACAGAAAAAATCAAGAAAAAGTTGTCCTCTCCAGATTTTTTTAATTTAGAGGCATAGTGCTGGTGTTGCCAACTAAGAACTGAAATTGTCTGATATTCTAGTCAAAAATCTGTCTTAAAGGTGTGTGTATACATGTTTTTAATAAAATATATGTTGCAAAATTAACCCATAATGTTTTATCTGATAAATTATGATTACTAACCTTAAAGTAACCTCTTCACAGAGAGAATTTACATTTTCAAATACTTAGCGGTGGTCTGACATTTTAGACTGATATAATCCTAGTATCTATAATGAGAAATCTAAGTTTACTGCCCTTCATCCTATTATGCTCTACGACTCATTCACCTTAATGAAAGCATATCCAGCTCCATTGTCTGTGATGGTGAGGCCCAGTGCGTCTTCTGTCTTTGTCACCTCCACTTCCTTGGTCTCTCCTCTGACATGAGCAAAGATGAAGTCTTCCAGTCCAATCTGTCCCCCCAGTAGCTTCTGCATGTCCACTTTATGAGAATTGAGAGTGCAGAACAATATCTAAGGCAAGAAAATTGACAAAAAGTTATTTTTTCTTTATTAACCATAGAATCCAATATTATGAATGTAAATGTGAGACACCAAAAGTATCAATATAGAATACTCCAGTACAGCAATAACATATGACCTCAAAAACTTACTGGGTTAAATGAACAGCTCTATGACGTAATCAACATTATACACCATGAGCTTTGCAAATTATTATTTGGATATAGTGTATGATTGTTTTGCTTTACAATGCATTCATTTTTGTTTTTTCTTTGAATGTGCTTCAAAAGAAACTATTTATTTCTCAGATGCAAGAACATAAACAAATCAAAAGTTATTTTAAACTGATAATGTGAATCACACATACATCTAAAGTAACTTTCCACAGAAGGCAAGGTTATATTTTGCACTGTATGTAATATGAAGTGTTTCCAGGTAATACTGACTGACAATTACCATCAATACAAGAGCAATTGTCTTTGCATGTTATACCAACATTACATTTTTGCTTTGTTTTGTTTTGTAAAGCCACACTCATTATTGACACCACTGTCATGTGTTTTATCAGAACCAGTCAAGTATGCTATTTTGCTTAGAAGTTAAGCTTCTTTATCCAATGCAAATGGAACCCATCGATTTTTGTTTGGTTGTGTTGTATAGCGATTAAACAGCAGAGGGCAGCAAAGTCAAGCAATTTGCTTTGCTATTGTGGCCATTTTGTTATGGACCATAACCTGATACCTTTTTGAGAAACTGTGTATATTTCAAGCCTAAGCCTGTTTAAGCAAGAGAAAAAAGTTACAACACACATAGTAGGTGATTAGAAGCTCTTCTAATTTTGAGCTACTACGGTGTCTGAAAATGTAGGGGGAAAAAACCTCTCCCCCTAATTGTTAGTTATAATTTAGAATTTTTTTGTTATTGCTAAACCTCCCAAGCCTTAAATTTAAAGTTAAAGTTTATAATCCATAATGGATGTTAAAGATAACCTGCATGAACTGTTATCTTATTTGGAGAAGTTCCAGTTAGATATTGCTGATAGTAATTCTCTTGGCAAATGGATCAGTCTGACTGCAGTCCAAGGTCTTCTCTGGCATCAAGCTGTACTGAAACCTTTGCTGCTGCTGTTCAGTCCACAGGAGGTCAAGGAGGCATTTGTACTTCTCATTATCACCAACTAATTGCCAGATATTTGAGAAAGTCTTGCATGACTGCAGCTCAAGGTCTTGTAGATGTACAGGTTGTTAGACAAGCTGCTAGACCGCTAAACAAACTGTTTAAAGTTATTGATCACTGTGCTTTAATACCGTGTGTTAATGAACATCAGTTGACGTTTCTTCCTAAAGTAGATATTTAGTAAATAGCATCTGGAGAAGGAAATTTGTATAATATAAGGAAACAGGCTGACACCGAATACACGATCATGGCTGGCTGTTACCTGTCAGGGTTAGATGCCATGGAACATATATTGCCCAATGTTGTTTATGGGAAAGCCTTGATGGTGACCTTCATATACTGCTGATAGGTATCAGATATAGTCAATGTCAAATGTTTATTGCTTTGTTGCTGAGTGTGTTACCATACACTGGAGAACCCTGAATGTGAGGATGCAAGACAGAATTGGATTTAAAACATTTTTCAGCAGTCCTTCAACTGTCATTTTCCTCCTACATGTTTTTCTGATGATCCTACCGTTGCATCTACCTCCAGATGTTCCAGATAAATGTCATCTGAACATCTGTTTGAAGTGAAGGTTTTTCTGTGATATCTCCCTGATAGTCTCGACCTCGCACAGCCTGTGGCCTTTCTGATTATCAAGAGCAGTGTCAGGCTGCATTGTGGTTTGCTCAGCCCTGACCCACCAAAAGGTTTAGTGAGTGAACTATTTAGTCCCATAAGGGTATATAACCGTTTTGGAAAACTTAATAGCCTCAAATGTAGCCTATATATTTGATATCTTTAAGCACAGCCAGTTCAGTCGCTTGTTAAAGCCACATGTGATGCAGTGTTTGAATAGTCTAATGTTAGTTAGTGTTACCATTTGGATCATTTTAAAGGTGAACTTTACAAATTTTAAATGTCATTTTGAATGTCATGTAGAATACTATCCAGAGTGCAAAAACACTCTGAGGCATTTAATGTCTATTAATATCTTGTGTGAGTCTATATGAGTTTTGTTAGGTCTGAGAAAATAACCTGAATGATGTCATCAGGAGTTTAGGATTGGCCTTGCACAGCACAACAGTATAAAAAGCAACCTGTGTTTCAAACTGTATTTGAAAGATGTGTGCATTTACCAGGAAGAAGATTTATATCAATTTTCTAATCTTTGCAATATGAGAAATAGGATTTTTGGAGTTTCACCCACAGCGACTATGTCTCCTTCAAAATAACCTGCTGGAATGTTCCATTAAAAGACTGTTTTTACTTGATTAGTTGACCAGTCTACTTTTGTTTCTGTATAAGCTGAAACACTGATGATCATCAGTCAGATTACTTCCAGTGAATTAGACAAACTAGGTAAAGTAATTGGCTGTAATTGTTGAAACAGTTGAAACATTTGCATCACTGTAACTAAACATTTGCAGCATGGTAGTTCTTTTACCATTCAGTTATTAAAATGCCTTTAAAAGCTATATTTACCTAGTTTTGTGTTGCTCAAAAGTCAGTTTCATTAGTGTAACTTGTAGCATATAGTATGTGTGATGATTACTGACTACAGAACATTATCTGGTTATACTTTATGTTTCCATTATTGATCCTCCTGAAGGAATAGATTAGTACAAAGTCTGGCAGACAGTGGCTGGCTGAGTGATCTTCAATAGTGCATCATGGAAAAAACCTAGAATGGAAACCTAACACGTATTTGCAGCTGGCCTGACTGACCAGAAAGGCAAGAACAGAATACAACCTGATTTTTTATGCTGATAATTTTCAGCATAATTGGAAATGTCACCAAGTAGCTGAATCTTGTTTGCATGCATAACTGGGTGTGTTTTGTACCTCTGAAGGGGAGATGTTGAACACTTCTGCAATCTTAGCATACAGCTCCTTCACGTTGGTGAATCCATGGATGCGGCCTGTGGGACTCCCATGAGCCAGCTGGGTGTGGAAGATGAGCCTAGGTCTTGGGTATTCTGGTGGTCCTGTTGGTGGTGGTGAAGGAGGAGGAAGTGGAGGTGCTGTGGGCTCCGTGCACCCTTGATTCTGAGCCTTCTTCTCCTCCATGGCCTCAGCCCCTGCTGCCTTGGAGTCCTGTGGGCTCATAGCATCCCCGTTCTGCATTGACCCCAGCTTAGGTGTGGTCCTCCTCTGTGAGCCCTGATGGTGCACTGCTCGGGTAGAGAAGTAATCACTGTCCTTCCCCCACTTAATTGACCAACCACCCAATTGACAAGCCACCCAAAGCTTTAGGGTGAAGAGCAGAGATGAATTAGTGATGAGAGTCGCCTGGTAATAAGAGATGGAAGAAGCCAGCCAGGCCCTACCAGGTAGAAACCCAACACCCTTCGAAATGAGGCTTATACGCGTTACACCTGAGCCTCTGGCAGATCACGCATATGGAACACAAACAAAACACATCAAGTAGTGTTGTTTCATAAACTTGACACAGTTAAGACTGTAATTCCCCATATCAGCCTGGCTCCGAGACAGTTTGCACATGCATGATCCTAAATGTGCAAACATCCCTCTGAAGGGATGCATATCTACAAAATGGCTCACAAAGTGGGATGCTCAGGAGTGGCTACAGACAATACCCCTATGTGACAGGTAAGATGATATCATTGGGTGTAAGGTGCCTGGCTTGTTGGCCTCACTGAGTGAAACAGGCTGTTGCTGGGGTGGTTCCTTGGTGATGCACTGACCTTTGTGACCCCACAGATCCACAAGATGACTGTTTAGGCAAGAGGTTTAGTTGGTCCACATTGGTCCTTCTTATACAGGAAAAAAATCAAAATAATAAATAATTCAAGGCACATTATTAATGACCTTGTGGAACCAATGATATACAGTATATTGCATTTCTTCCTCATGTTTATTTAAGAAAAATGCATATTGTTTTGGATGTACAGTATAAAATGTATTTCTGTTTGTAAACCAAGCACGTCGTCCGCAATTCTAAAGTGATTACATTTGATATTATTGTTCCCTAATGAATTCTAAAAAGAAAACATCCCTCTTGTGAAATTATAGAATATCTTGACTCAAAACAAAATGTCTAAAAAATAGTAATATACAATGGAACACAATTGTTTTCTAATGTTGTATCTGAGACAGAAGGGATAAAATAAATAAAACGTCTCAATTGCTTTGTGAGGGCATCTCCATCAGCTGACCAGAGGCTTGGGTGAGAGCCTCAACCAACTAGACAATAAAAGAAAGATGTTTTACTAACAGTTTACCTTTTAAAATGTGTATAAAGATTCAAACAGTTAAAAGCCATGACATAACTGACATATTCCTGTTTTATTCTGCCATGGTAATCACTGTCCCAACAATTTTATTTGTCCCACTTTGTCCCACATGACACGTTACTCATGTGCAAAATAGGGGCCTTTTCATCTCAGCACACAAAAAGCTATCTCTCTTTCAGACTGGAAATTCCCAGAAGTCCACATTTTAAAAGGCCAGCTGGACATGTGTCACCAGCATTGTGATTTTAGTGAAATTCCCTTTAGACAAAGATCCCAAACAGTATTAGCTTAAACTGAAAGAGATCCTCAAATAGCTAACTGATTTAAATACACTAAGTTAAAAATATCTTTTATTTGAATGGCAATCGCATCACCAGTGCAAAAATAAAGCTGTCTGTCATAATGACATACTGCTTGCTTTTATCTCAGAGATCTCTGAAACTTTATTTCTAACATGTACAATAATAAATCATTTTGCCATATAATGGACTTTTATGTATATCATGGGTAAATATGTAAAACTATGAATTCTGTGATGGTGTAGTAGGCATACAGTCTGCAATGCCCTTTTTTTTATCCTGCTTTGTAAGCATTTATATGCACCTGTGCTTTAACGTGTATGGCTGCAGCTGTTTGTATATTATAGCCTGGTTTTTCTTGCTAAGGTGTTGTTACCCACCCAAGGTCAGAGTGTTTACTCCAGCAGCTGATAAAAGGATTTCTCTACTATTTTCAATGTTTTGCAAATGTTATTATATTCTTACATTGTTTGCCTCTATATTGTGTCCTTGCAGAGGAGATGGAAGGGAAGGCTGGGGGTTGGCTTGTCTAAGCCACACTGTGTGAGGGTGGTGTGGTTGCTGTATCATATGGTAGCACACTGCCTCTTCTGTTCTTGGTGGTGTGGTGGCACCTGACCTGCCTAATGAGAAAAAAGGGCTTTTTTGTGCTGAGATTTTTTGTGCCATTCTCTACTGCTTTTAATGATTGGTTCTCTTTTGTAATTGTGCTCAAGGTCATTAACAAGAAAATGATGAAATACTTGAGAGAGACAGGCTGCCTGCTTAAAAGCAATTCATATATTTGTTGTTAGGGGTTAAAACATAAGGGAGTCACAAGTAACATACAAACCATCCATTGTGACTACAGTGTGATTTAATTGACCCTGAACTTTGGCCCTTTGGTCTGCCGATTGTATTGTATGTGCCTTTGCCATTTGTTGCTGTTGTTGTTGTATTGTATGTGCCTTTGCCATTTGTTGCAGTTGTTGTTGTTGTTTTTGTTTTCTCCAGTGTGGGAGAGGGTGACAGACTCTGTGCCTCATTAAGCTGGGCCAAGATGAAATGTTTAGAGCTGTGGTGTTAGAATAAAAGCCATCAGCTGAGCAAATGACTTTGCTTTTGAGTCACTGACTTATGCTTTCATAGGATCAGGAATAAATATAATGAATTTCAAGGCTCATTATGATTCATGATAAGATGAATGATGATAAGGTAATATCACTTTTTAACTTTATGGGTGCTGCCAACTTTTGTAAATACTCAGCACTTATTCTACAACTGCTTCTTAAAGAAATATTTGTTTAAAACTCTAAATGTTGTATTTATTTACATACAGTATATTAATTGACAGTGTAAATTGTTATTCATACTAGGGTATTACATTTTAGATACATGTTTAGGCTCATGCAGCAAAAATCATTTTTATGTTTGTGGTATAGCAGTAGCTGTGCAAAACAGTAGCCTACTAACTACTTCCCCACCCTGTTCCACCAAGAGGCCTACAGTTATTTTCTCTGATAGATTACTTATAGTCTGATATGACAGGTGGAACGCTGTATTTTGTTTGCTTGAAATGTTAAAATCCTATGTAAATTTTAAAGGGCCACGCCACACCAACACAATAACACAGGATCTACCTTCCCTTGCTCTTACGATTGGGAGGGCCCGACCACCAAATAAGGTAATGGGCGGTCCAGTGCAACCCAACTGATCGGTGATTAGAGAAACCGATCTGACATGACCGCGGTCTTGAAGTCGTCGACGACGTTGATTGGTCGGCTGACTTGGTCCGATTTAAGCTCATTATACTAATCTGCCATAGATGAAGTGAGGAGAAAAGAAAGCAGAAGCTATACCAGGAACGGTGGAGTTTGTCGTGGGGCGTCGTTTCTTTACGAACCGACCACCACTGACTTAAGGAAGAATGCTTGAGAATAAGAGAGAGAGACTGAAAACCTTCCTAAGGAAGATTGACGAAAAGACTATTGTCAGGATCAAGTATTTCATGAAAGAGAGGTGAGTGGAGTGAATGAGGCTAGCTAAACCGCTATCTGCCGGTGAGCATCATCAACAGGGTCGATGCTAACGTTTAGCATTTCTTTTCTGATAACCTGTGTCATAAGAATGGAATTTCATTCTTATTATATTTTGCGTTTTTAAACAGAACCTGGAAATATGTATTTTGCAACTAATTTTGTATTAAAGAGGAATGCATGCCGTTCATTTAGCGAGTATTTGGATATTACTATAAGGCTAAGCCACTCGCCTGGCTGGAGATGTTGGCATTCATTAATTTTAGCATAACGTTAACATTAGCCAGTGTTGTATCCGGTACTTTTTACCATGCTAATTCTGAGAGACGAGACAGTCCAAGTAACTTCAAACAGTGCTGATTTATTCAAAGGATCACAGGTAAAATTAACATTACACGCTCAGGTATCTTGCACCTCCAAACTGCTCGCAGGCAGATGTAAGATGAAAGACCCTGAACCCACCAGGCCTATACATTATATCCCCTCGGTTGGGCTAGCCCCATACTACACAGAAACGTCAACCGAGACGTCTCTGTTACCAGCTTTGCAGCTGGTCATAG